TACGCCAAGGACAAAGTGGCATGGAGGGTCAAGTCCGGGTCCCAGTAGTCTCGGAATCAGCATAAAAGACCAACCGTTCGTCCTCCGCCTCGTCCGAGACCCCCTAGCAGGGCCTCGGACGTACTATTCCTTCTCTGCCTCGGCCGAGGCCGGGCTCGTCCCGCATCCTCGTCGCCTCCGCCTCAACCGTCCCTCTGGTGAGCCGTCACATCCGTTTAAATGCGCCTGGTCGCAGACTACTACTACGCCTACCACGACGACGACAGTGGTACAAAGAATAGGGGCGATGGGACAGTGGTCAAATCTCCTTTTACCATCCCCATCTTGGCGGTGGGGGTTACCGTTCCTCTGTGGACACACGCTCCGCACTTCTCCACTGAACCGGCACGACACGACCACCGAGACCCCGCATCATGCACGGGTCACCTCCGAGGCCTCGGCAAAACAGGCCTCGGCACGATCAGCTACAGCACCCGCCAGGCCTCGGCACTCCACCAAGTCAAGAACACGCAAGGCATGGCATGCCTCCTACAGTGGAAGCCATACTGACTAGACGTCAACAAGGACTCCCACGACCTCAACAACCTCGGGCTGGCCAAGACGACGCGGCCTTGATCAAGTACCAATCGCCATCCCCAACACCATGCTGCTACAGGACTGAACTACAGTAGGCTCCACGTATAGCTCACTCATGTACTCCTGGCTCCCTCCTTGCGGTTATAAAAGGAAACAGCCAGGGATAGCTCGGGGGGAGAGAAAAAGGAGAAATAGGAAGAACACCTGGTAGCTCACAGACATACACATCCCAGCCGCCTGAGAGCAACGTCTCAAGCAGCCCACATGACACCTCGCCAAGACCTGGGACTAGCTCCCTCTCTCCCTGTGCTTGTAACCCCCTACTACTAGCACTTCGGTGCAAGGAATACAAGATCGATCTCTTAGACTGGACGTAGGGCATCGATTGCCTGAACCAATATAAACCTTGTGTCTCTTTGCATCACCATCCAGGATTAGGGACATGCAGTTTAAATTCACTAGTTGGTAGAGGACCCCCGGTCCGAAACACCGACACCGCCGCTGCCAGCCACCGCTTGCCAAGACCGACCGGCTCGCCGGCCTCCCCTCCTCTGCTCTGTTCGACGAGGAAGACGAAGAGGGACCCTGCGCAGCAATAAGAAGAAAGGGAAGGGCTTAAGTGCAAAGACTATGACTCATGTGAATAGTGCCTCGAGGGACCTTTTTGCTGGAATTTATTTTCATGGAAGGTCAGGGGCTTCGGTGCAAATGTGTTTTCCTTTATTGCTTTTATTTGGCTGAACTTTCAAAAAAATCATAATAAATTGTAGAAAAATCGTAAAATAGAAAATGAAGACTTTTTGGAATCCTTAAGAGTAGGTATATGCAGTAGAGTCATAATATGATATCTGTTAGTAGAAAGTTTCTGCCGTTTTTTATTTATTCTTGTAAAGTGCTTTTAAAAATGGTTTTAAGTCAGACAGATGCATATCTTGAGTTATAGAAGTCCAAAAATGGTAATTCCAGTTGTGTTAATCTTGAGATGACATGATCTAGATAATAAAAATATTAAACATGCTAGTTGTATACTGTTTTTATAATGTTTTGATTGAATCTTATTAAATAGGCAATTCTAGCTTGTTTTGCTCGTTATTCTCATATCTAAAGTTGTGGTGCTCCAATAGCTGTGAAATTTTTATGGTAAGCTTCTGATGTCACATGTGTGTTGTGGTAAAAATTTCATATTCATTGGATGCAATATGACTGAGTTATTAAATTTACTTGTTTAATGCTTATTAAATGGTTTTAAATAAGTTATAATTTTTATGTAGGTGTAAAATATGGTTCCACTACCTTTGTATGATGTTGTGATATCATAATAACATATAATATGTCCATGTATTTGTATAAAGTAGTGTGTTTTAGATTTATCTTGCTCTCACATGTTTTCTTGCATTAGCAATTTGTCTTTTTTGTAATAACTAATCTATAAAACCTGAGCATGTGAAATTTATGCGGTAGCCATGTTTTGATAACATCTACCACTTATAAAAATCTTAGCCCCAAACTAGTTGTTCTCATATAGTACTAAAAATAATACATATATTGTCGTATTAAAGTAGAGAATGAATGTTGTGAACATATACATGTATTTATTGTCATGTGATGCTTCTAGCAGCTATTCCTACATGCTATGACTGTTTGAATATGATTTCAATATGTTTGGGGTAGCATATATATCAAGAATATGTTGGTTTGTAGCAACTAAATGATAGATGAATTCAGCATGCTTCTGCTGTTATGGCTGCATGTATAGTTTTTGTGGTGGTGACATGTTCGTGATGCAAATGATCTTTTCTATAGATATGTTGAATACAAAGTTGTAGATAATTTTATTATCTTTCTTGTCCTAAAATTTCATGATTTTAGTCCTGATGGTTCAGGAGTTATAAATTTTATAAGTTTGCTGTCAAGTTTTGCATGTCTTTTGTTCAAATCTGGACAGAGATGCCTTCTTGGTGTTGTTTAACCTTGTTAGCTATAGAATCATCTTAAGATGATAATAAGAAAGTTATATATAAATTAATAATATTTCTATAAAGTTAAGAATCATATTTAATGGATGTCTAGAACTTCAGATATACATTTATAAAGTTACTGTCAGATTTATGTCCTAGTTTGTGCAGATCTGCTTGCTAGTATTTTTCAACCTTGTTAACCTTTAAATCAGCTCTAGGTGTAAATAATAAAGTTGTAAACAATTTCTTTAGGTTTCTAGAAAGTCTAGGATCACCTTTATTAGATGCCAGGATCTCTGTTTATGATTAAAACAATTGACTATTGTGCTGCTATCCAGAAACTGCATGTGTATGTTGATTGCTTTAACTTGCCCTGGTTGGTTAAACATGTTAAGTTGACATCGATTGATGAATACTTGCCATGGCTACACGTAAGTAATTTGGGTTCCATGCTTGATGTGCTTGTCATCTCCTATGTTGTGCTTGAGTGATGATTAAGTTAAATAGCTCTTGGTGCTTACATTGGTTTGGTGTACTTTTTTAATACTTTACGTGTTGCACTTCCATGCATTCATACGTATGCATTGTTGCACCTCATTTAGGTACACTAGATGCACCACGTGAAGGACGTGATGTTGGAGCCGAACCCGAAGATGGAGTTTGGTGAATCCATCCAGAAGACGAAACGACTAAGCAAGTACCGAGATGGGAGATGCTCGCCAAGCGAGTGTCATCTAACAAACATTGACCTAGTGTGGATCCCAAGCAAGCCCTGGAGCATTCTAAGACTCCTATGTTTTTATAAATATCACTTGTGTCCTTTATGTTTGATGCATTAGATTATAAAAGTTGATTGGAACCACTTGATGTATAAAACTAGCTTGTCCAGAAATATCCTTTGAACCTTATGTAAGTCCAGGATCGAATATATGCTTATTCATGCTTAGACCGGTAGAAGTCGGGTGATTTTCTGTCACCTGCGAGATATAGGTGGGTACCGAAGCACGGTTGGCTATATTTGCTATCGTGGAACAAAACCATGGGGTAATGTAACTAGAGGCCAGGCGGAATCTATGTGTAGGTTGACTCATGTGATTCCGTCTGTGTCGGTTAAGAACAGTACCGTTGCTGGCACTTCTGCCGAGATTGAACGCATGCCTCTCACTTAGCTGGCCAGATAACTCGTTCCGACTGCGAAGCCAAGTAGCTCAACTCAGGCCGGACCCCGTTCTATAAAAGTGCGCACTTTGGATGGTAGTAAGGATGTGCGGGGAGCCAGACGTGAGCCCAAGGACAGGCCGGCCTGAACGTCCTGGCAGCTGGTCGTCCCTGATTGTGCGGTGCTGGTCAAACCCGCGAAATGTGGATCTGAATTGTACCAAAGGTGACCTAAGACTACCTTGGCGTAGGTATGTCTGAGTTTGTGTTAGGAATAAATTCCCAGCTGGTTAAAAATCGATTCGAATCGCCGTCCCTTCCGGATGGTGAGAAACTCGACTAGCTCCAGCATCGTAGTAATTGGATTATGGAATATGATGGTTCTAATGAATATGAAAGTCTTACACCGGCTATGGTTACTATTGTTATGCTACTAAATGTTATACCACATGTTTGGCACATGTTAGTTGCTAATCTAGAGATGAATAGTTATAATTAACTTGATGACCGAATTATAAAATGTATAGCTGAATTAGTGGCTTTTATGCAAAATATTGTTAAGTTAGCTCCACTTATAAAGCCTTGCATAATCCTTGGTGTCACTTTATTTCTGATTTATGACAAATAAATTAAGTACATTGAAGTACTTAGGGTTTATCCCACCATATTACAGGTAAAGTCCACAGCCTGCTAAAGATAGTAGCTAACCGCCGGTGGACTCGGCGACTCTATATAGTGTTCTTATTTATATGACAAACATTTATATGACTTTGTCGGAAGATGTCACTTATGCTAGCAATATATTTAGAACTTATATTAATGTAATAATTTAAAAGCTATGTTATTTTTCCTTAACCAGTTTTGAAACCCAAACTTATACTATTATTTATAAACATATTTATATTATTATTTCCGCTTATATATATATATATATATATATATATATGATGTATATTTACTTAATCGTGCAACCTTGGTTGTGATGTTGATTTACCGAGGTCCTTCGTGACACTCAGCGGACTATCGAGTTTATATAAGTGAAATTATATGTGCGTCAACGTGTTAAACAGGACAGCCGTACTTGAGCTTGTATGAATTAGACGGTTCTGTCACAGACTGCCCCTGAAAGCATAACATCGCCTGCGGTGAGAAGGCCCAAGGAACTTCTGGGAAGAGCCTCGGCTTCACCTGCCACAGGCCGGTGCTTCTCGACTCGAACACGTTGGACCCTGCCAAGGGGCATCCAGTTCATTCCCTTTCTGCTACTGGACTATGGTATTAAACCTATGTTACGCTAACTTGCTTTGCTCAAGGTTCTGGTAACTTGTGATCAATGCATTTTCTCAGGGCTGCCCTTATCTCCTTCAGCATCTCGTCAATCCCGATATGCCTCCTGCAGAACCAAGGCAACGGGGTTAAACAAAATGAAGTGACACTAAAATAGGACAAGAAATAAGCAGACATCAAAATAGAATGACATATTGCTTCTAGGGCTATGACGGTTCCAATTCTAGAAGATTTATGAACTTTAATATGAACTGCTTAAAATTGAAAGAGTTATAAACATGCGTTTAGTTTGGTAAGGTGATGAGACATACAACACGCTAGCAGCAACAACAGCTTGAGGTCTTGGATAGTCCCCAAGCTCCTTTTCACCAGTTTCAACTTTAGCCTCTGATAAGACCTGATGATTGCTTACGTGTCCATGTAGGTTATCTTTGCTGCCACTTTGGTCATGCCCTTCTTCACATCCAATTGAAGATATCTCTAAGGCCAGTGATGATAACCTATCATGGGCCTACAAGGAGGGGAGGAAAATCGACGCTACTATAGTTAAAACACTGAATGTACCAATATGAAGTCAAATTTTCAAGAGATTGTTTCAAAGAGAAAATCGTGTCACCCAAATTAGGAAGACAACAATTTGACTCAAATTAAGGAATTGAAGTGCACCTTCGAAGATCAATCTTGTTCAGGACCACAACATAAGGTCGCTCCAGGTATTGGGGGTTATACATCCTTAGTTCCTGCAACGAGCTACAATCAGATCGCTGTTCGAAACTGCACCTTGACTTGAGAACAAAATATAGAGTTATAGAGAAATGATGATTCAGTTTTGACTACCACAATCACAAACCTGATACACCCAAATGAATTTTTCAACCATTTACAAAAGCAAGTTCTCTTCTAAGATACTATATTTCTCGTAACTCCTTTAAGAAAGCAACTTTTATTCTAAGATCCTATTTCCCCCACTAACTGTTCAGAGGCCTGGTATCCTCAGAATCTGAACTGGTCTGATCTTCCTTTATTCTAACCACTGGGAGCAAATCGTTACTCCCTCTGTTCCAAATTTTAAGACGTTTTAGCTTTTCTAGATACATTGCTTTTACTATAAGCTATGTATTTAGAAAAGCCAAAACATCTTATAATTTGGAATGGAGGGAGTACATTGCTACACTCATAACACTTGACTTCCCTTGACCTTGACTCCTTAAGCTTACCATACACTCAAACTGGCAATATGATTCTGCTCCAGACAGCATATACAAGTGTTTATCAAACAATCTCACTGCTAATGCTAGGGTAACACAGATCAGATAGATCATGAACATTGTAATACTGAGACGTGAAAGCCAAACAACACATGCGATGATGCGAGTGATGAAAGCAATTAGAAATTAGTACTTCTCTGACAATCTTATAATCATTGACAGGGTCATCCGCAGCAGCATCGACAACATGGACGATTACTCTAGTTCTCCTTAAATGTCTTAAGAAATTGCGGCCAAGACCCTGAAAAATTAATTAAACCACATGATAAGTCCAAATGAAATAGTGAGGGGAAGCTGCATGATAGTTCCAAAGAAAAGTAATTAGGAACAAGCAGATGATAGAAGTAAAAGCATTACCTTTCCTAGATGAGCACCCTCAATTAGACCTGGCAAGTCTGCCAATGTTGCTTCTGAAGAAAACTGTAAGGCCCCTAAAGCAGGATCTCCACCAAGCCGGCCAAGATTGGGCATTAATGTAGTGAACGGATAATCAGCAATGTCTGGTCTTGCAAGTGTTATAGCTGATAGAAGTGTTGACTTTCCAGCATTTGGAAGTCCCTGAAGATGCAATTAAGATAACTTATAACAACATGGTGATATGGCAAAGAAATAAATTTGAAGCAAGCCTCAAATTTTGGATAATCAAACATCTGCATCCTAAAAGGAAACAGGGATGACTCTTGTATTATGATATATGAGCATGAAGCATTTAACTAACAATTTCTTTCTCCCTAAAACTCGAGATGTGTGGATTAGTAAAACGTCATACCACAAGACCAACATCAGCAACTACTCTTAAGATCAACTCCAAGCTTACTTCCTCGCCAGGCTGACCATGAATTAACACCTGAAGACAAGAGAGGTAACAGAATCACGAAACATACTATGGACTTGACAATAGTAGCCAGTAAAATTGCCTTGAAATTTTTAAGCTATCAAAATACACAATGCTAACAAAAATGAATACAAGCAGTTCAGTGTTCAGTAAGGAATTTATAGCTGACTGTTGACACTAGCGCTTGAGCATCATACATCTTCTCGTGATCAATCATCAAGCAGTAAACTGCTGTTTGTGGAAGTTTAGATCAATTTGTGCATCAGTTAACATGACATCAGACATGCAAGCAACTGGACATTTACAAAGGGCCTGTTTGGTTCTCTTCTCTAGCTAGCCTGCATTGCATCTGGGATCCAGGCTGCCGTTGACCAGGCTCTAGGCATGCAGCATATTGCTGTTTGGTTGCCCTGCTCAACATGGCCAGGTTCCAGGGATGGAAAAGAGGCTGTCAACTAGACTGGTTTCCTATCTGATGGGCTGATTGTACAAGTACAGAGACATCTTTTCTCCACTAGTGAATCCTTCCCCCATCTAAAAGATCCAAAAAGAGACATAAGTGACACAACTTACTTTGTCACTAGTGTCTCGCATGATGTTTGGGGATAAAGCCATGGCTTTCCTCCTCCTGTACTCAGGCACATCTATCAAGCTGATCTGCAAAATAACTAAATAAATATAGTATACATGTAAAACTACAATATGAATCCAGTATACTTATTGTAGCAAATAAAGCGAATAGTCATAGTGAACAAAATGGGGGCATTTTCTTTTCTTTTCTTTTCTTTTTTTAAAGTATAAGAGGTGCTAAGTGGTTCTAGATCATTTACACAACATACTCAGTACACAAAGGAATATGCATAATTTCTATTGCTTTAAGTAGCTGCCTTAGCAGAAATCAAGTACACCTAAGATCATAGACAAGTGTGCCACCCATTGAATCATTTATAGCACAACATCAAAATCAAGTTAATTGATCTGACACTAGGCTGCAGTGATGCACATGCATATATATACTTCAAATTTATAGCACAACATCAAAATCAAGTTAATTGATCTATGACACTAGGCTGCAGTGATGCACATGCATATATATACTTCAAAAATGTGTCAAAACTGTACAGCTGTATCTCAAAATGTTGAAAACAGGGTAACTGCGAATCTTTCCACACACTTCACACCACTGATGTTTGTGCTTACACTAATATTGCAAAATTAAGATGATAAAATGCTTACTACACTCCACAGCATTTAGGATGTCGGAAAGGGTTAAGGATGCTTACTAAGTTACTATACTCCACGGCATTTAGGATGTCGAAAAGGGTTACAGGTATAAGTTTGTCTTTCAATAATTCATAAAATTAGGGATAGTATGAGTTTGGGACTGGAATCCACATTTCCTCCTGCATCAGCGTGACAGAGTAGTCAATAAGTAACTACTCACCCCGCCCTGTCCACCTCTAGCAACGAGCACTTCATCACCGGGATGAGCCAAATCCGCCAGAACAGCTCCCTTCTTGCGTTTCACAACAGTTCCTGCAATTCGATGCGAAGGCATCCATCAATGGCCAGTCCCCGCACAGGAGAAATGCTCGAAATCGACAGCACCGAGTCCACAAACCTACAGGCACGGGTATCCTGAGCGTCTCCCCGGCGAAGCCGCTGTGCATCCGTGAGCTGAGCGTGCCGCCAGCGGCGCCCACGTTCCCTCCCCGTTTGGCGCAGTACCGCGCCTTCTCGTGGAACCGCAGCAGCGTCTCCTCGGCCTCGTCGGCGTACACCACGACGTCGCCGCCGTGCCCGCCCGTCGGCAGCGCCACGGACCCGTCGTAGTTCCGCTTGTACGACACCTTCTTGCTCTTCTTCTCGCCCCGGTTGAACCTGCCGCGGGGCTTGGTGGCGTCCGCGGAGGGCACCGGCGGCATGGCGAGCACGGCGCCGTGACCGCCGTCGCCCGCGCGGACGGTGACCACGGCGTGGTCGAAGTACTTGTGCGCCTCCTTCGCCAGCGCCTGCGGCGGCGGCGGCGAGGCGCCTGCGCTCGGAGCGGGCTCCTTCACCCTGGCCGCGCGGCACGTGACCGCGAGCAGCGCGCGCTTCCTTCCGGGGCCGCGGAGTATAAGGAGGCAAGAGGCGTCCGAGATGGCGTGGTGGTGATGGGCTGCCGCGCGGAGAGGGTGGGAAGGGAGGCGGGGATGGAGGAGAAGCGCCATGGTGGTGGTGCTACTGTTGCCGCGGCGTGGCTGCGCTGCGCCAGGGGTGGAGATAACTGATAAGGTTGCGGCGCAGCGTCCGCCGTTGGACGGCTACAACGAACCCATCCTGGTCGTCGGTCGATCAGAACGAGCGAGTGAGCGTCATGCGCAATTTATCTCCTATTTTTCTCATGTTTAGGTGAAGGTTTTTTTTATGACATGGCGACATTTTTTAAAGGAGACGAGAGTAAGTTTTATCCAGACGAAACTCTCTCGATATAGTTACCAATTCTATATGAATCATTAAATTAAGGATTAAGTTCATTTTTGACCCCTTAACTATTGCGTTGGTCTAATTTTAACCCTCAATTACAAAATTGTCTAGTCCTGGTACTCCAATTGTCAAAACCGTTCACTTTTAACACCTGGCGCGAGGGCAAGATTGTTTTGACCGACGTTGAGTGGTTTTGACCACGCTGGAGCAAAGTGCCAGCCTAGGAGGGAGGCCTGTAGGCTAGCACAAGCATTTTGCATAAGAGACCATAGATTTTCATGAAACTAACCTTCACTCCATACTACTATTCACATGAGTCATAACATTTGTATTTAGCACCCATAAAAACCTCGTCTTCACCTTTCCCGGTCCCTGGGCGGCTCCAAAGCAGAGCACGCCACAGGGGGCGACGCCCGACGGCCAATCCGACCGGGAGGAGGCTCACGACTGCATGAGGGAGGGAGGCACGAGAGGAGCTGGCACATTTCACGCGCTAAGTCTGCAAGGCCACTGGTGCGCAGTTGGGGTAGCGGCGAGGGCGTAGCCACGCCCACGCAAGCGCGGGTTCGCCGGCGATGGCGCTTACATTCCGACGAGACGGCGGCGGTAGAGGTTTAACGGGTAGGCGGATGAGAAACAGGGACTCACCGCGAATGCCTCTATAGAGTTGGTTAGGGGAGAGACGGCTCGAGGAAGCCTGGCCACGTGTATGGCAGCAAGTCGGCTGGGGTTCGCAGCCGACGGGCAAAGTGGCCTTCCGTAACTGGCGAAGGTCCTTTGGCTAACCTTTTTTGAGCGAGACCAAGGCATCATATCGAGCAAAATCATGAAAAATAGCTCGAAGAAGTGGAGCAAGGAGAGTGCAGCCATGGCGATCTTAGTTCGGTGTCCATGGTGGCCGCGGCGGTGAGATCGACTCGGACGAGCACGCTGGTGCACGGAAGTAGTCAGGATCGCGTCCAAGAGATAGGTAGGAACCTGAGGTAGTTGTGTACGGGATGAATTGGTGAGAGATGGATTGGGCACGACGAATTTTGGAAAAGGGGTGGAGGGACGGCGGTCGGTCATGGGGATCTTGTTCTCGGCTTTTATAGCCACTCGGCAAAGGCGGGCCTGGGGCACAAACCGCGCAATGCGAAGACCCGGCGTGAGCTCATTGAGGTTGACGTGGCGTGGACTAAGCTCGTGCGTCGTCTTAGATCAAGCATTGACAAGGATTCTGAACGCCATGCGGCTTGCCAGCGCTGCCATGGCGGCTACTGGACAATAGGGACGTGTTCTCGCCGAGCTTGTCGGCGGCGGTATCTCCGTCTGTTGGTGTGCTCGGTATATTGGTCGCCGATAGCCACGTGCACGAGCTGTGCGCGGACATAAGGTGACGGAGCTGGCCATGGCGCTGCTGGCATCTGGCGGAGCTGTGCGCGTGCACGGACGGGCGCGTGGCGGTTTCCTACCGGCGAGCTGCAAGGTGGTTTCCTACCGGTGCAGCGGACGACAGACCACGCCACCTCAGCGCCGGACGGCATGGAATCGAGATGGACCGAGCCGGAGCCAATCCCCGGCCCCGTCGTTGCCGCTGCTACTCCCACTGGTGCCTGCGGCCTCCTAGTGGCTACCGGCAGGGCGTGGCATGCGCGTCGCGGAGGAGCGGTTCGTGTGTGCTAGTTGAGGTGCTCGCCGAGGTGCTTGCCGTGCTCGTTGGGGTGCCCGCCGAGGTGCTCGCCGTGATCGTTGGGGTTGCCCACTGAGGAGCTCATTGTAACACCTCGGTGTTAAGCGTGCATTACCATTTCGGCCCCGTTCGCTGGTCTGAACTTTGGCTGAAACTGGCTGAAAAACACTGTTCCCGCTGAATTGTTGTGAGAAAAAAACACTGTTAAAAAAAATAAGCCGAACAAGCCAAATTTAAGACAAGCGAACGAGGCCTTCATCCCATAAGCATAATCATCATCACCTCATGCATAAGCATCATTCATGCATTTCATTTCGAAAGAAATGAAGTATCATTTCATGTGGTGCTTAAATTGATTGAAATTCATTATGTTTAAAACAATATGAAATGCCATGCTCATGTTTGGATGCCATGATTTCTTGTTTTGATCACTAAGACACCTAGAAATAATTAGGATACAATTTGAAGCAAAGTTCATATTTAAATTTTTACCAAATTTTGCCTTTAAAAATAATTCTTCAAAATTAGGGTTTTGAATTAATATTGTTTTTTATTTTGTAATTCAAAATCTATTTGGAATTTGACTTTGGTCATAAAAGAAAAGTTGTAGATCTTGAAAAATGGAACAACTTTCATTTTTACACCAACTTTTGAAACTGCTTTGAAATAGTTCAAAAATTCATTTGAATGAAAAAGGAATTGAAAATAATTTGAAAAAAAAATCACATTTTCACTTTATGGGCCGCCGCGCCGCTGCTGGGCCATGACGCTGCTCGCTTCCGTCGCTACCGATCAATGATCGAAAGCACGACGCGTGGCGTGGCATATGCGCCGACGCAAGCCGCTGCCGTCAGCCGTACCGGCTTCCTCCACCACGCTGCAGCATACATCTCGCCGAAAGCGTCCCGCCTCCCCTCCTCCATCTCATTTTTCTCTCTCTCGCTCAACAAGAAGAATAAACAAGAATAAGACGCCCGCCGCGCCGCCACCACCGCGTTGTGCCTCGCCGAACTTCGCTTTCGCGCCACCGTCCCCTCGCCGTTGACCCCTCCATCTCGCCCGCAGCTCCGCCTCCACATCGTGCAGCCTGTGCTTGTCTCCGTTCGACGTGGTAAGGCTCGAGCCGGCCGCTATTGCTCGCCGGAGCGCGGCCGAGCTCACCGAAGAGCTCCGCTCCCGTGGGCATCCCTTCTCCGCTCTACCTTTCTCCTTCCTTTCACGTGCGTGAGCACCGCCTTGCCCTCGCGAACCTCGTGCGCTCCTCCCCGTGCCTTGCCGTGGCCGGAGATGGCCGGCCATCGGTGAGCCGCGCCACCGCTCCGCCATGCGCGTCGTCGAGCCCCATTCTGACCTCCTCCCGTGCCTTCTCTTGGTGCACCATGTTCGCCTCGTCATGGGTGAGTCATTGGTGGTGACCGCACCACCGGTGGCTCACTCCGTCGTCGGCGAGCCCCGGCCGGCGGCCGCCCGCTTCCGGTGTGACCGATAGGTTGGGGCCGTTGACCGTGGGGGCCCGCTTGTCATACAGCTCGGGTCTGGGTGCACAAACACCGGTGCACCCAACATTTTCGCCATTGATTTTTGAAAGGGTTTAAGAAATGATTTTTTAGATTTCTGTTTAAATGCTTTGGGAATTTATAACTTGCACAAAATGGCTCTAAATTTGTTGAAACAAATTTTGTTGTGTTCCTTGTCACCAGATCTACATGATAAAAATATTGCATGTCATTTTTGAGACACTTTAATGTAGAGCTTTATTTAATTCTTGATATTGCTGATATCTTGTGAAATATATAATAAATAGAATATAGGTCAGAAAAATATGGTTCTAATTTTGTTGATCTATTTAGGTGATGTACTTTCTGTGAAAAATATATGCCATGCATGTTCTGTAGAAAAATTATGAGGCGTAGTTCAAGTGCCTTTAATGGCTGAATTTTGTTATTTTTGCTAGAGAGCAAAATTTGTATAAAACATGCATGTGATAATTTTTGTAAAGTGATTGTATGCTATCAAGATCGTAGGAAAAATACTAAATCTGTTGTTTGACACTTTTCATAATACAAAGTATTTTCATGTTCATAATTATGACATAGCTTGTCATTTTTGTGTAGGCTACTCCACTTATTTAAATGTCAAAAAAATTAATGGTAGACTACTTAGGGTAGTACTGTGCTATGGTAATTTTCTAAGATTTTTCTAAGCTATAAAAATAGATGTTGCTATTCAAACCTATTATTAATTAGGGTTTAATCAAATGTTGCTTTATGTATGATTAAGAAATTAGTGAAGCTTTGGTGTATCTTTGAAGCATTTAATGAGATGTGTTGACTAAGCATATTAGTAGTAGAAGAGAATGCAGTAGATGACATGTGCTTGTAGTACATGTTCTTGGATGATGTTGACTACCTTGCATTCAAGCATATCCATTGTGTTCCTTTCATCCGATGCACCTTTTGCATAAGCACTTACGCACCTGCATCACACAGGATCGCAAACCGAGAGCCCAGTCATCATACCCAAGGAGCCCGAGGAGCAGCTCGAGGTGTAGCCGCAGGAAGCGACCGAAGCAGACGAGGAGGACATTGAGGAACTTCCGGAGTGCCCCGATCACCGCCCGAGCTCCTTCGAGAGAGGCAAGCCCCGGAGCATTTTTCTCCCCGGTTTGCAATTATTAATTAAATGCTTTACTTTAATTGATGCATTACGTTCAGGAGTTGTTTGCAACCGTTGCTGCATTATACCTTGTCTACCTTTGTTATACTATATCCTTGTTACCCTGGTATCCGCAGTCGAGTCAATGCTTAGCTGGCTTAGACCGGTAGAAGTCAGGTGATTTCCTGTTACCTGCGAGCTATAAGTGGTTACCTGGATCTGCTTGGATAACTATGTAGTCATGGTATAACTAAGTGTTAATTAAAGTTGAGACCGGACGGAGACTTATAGAGTTTTGGACTGTAGTGCTTTCCGTCTGTGTCGATTAAGGACCGACCGTTGTTGGGCCTCAGGTCATGTTGAACGCATGCCTTATATTTAGCTGGCCGAATAAAGTACCTTTCGACCACGAAGCTA